TGAGCGTTGTTAAATGCCCTTTGAAATCCTCTCACAGTAGAGTTCATATAAAAACCATATATTGTTTAAGGGGACACAAGGAAATGTGTTGGGAGGGAAAACAGACCATCTTCAAAATAAATGGGAGATACCTAGCACTGAACCTCACTTCTTTAAGAGAAATTAAAACCACAAAAAAAAAAAAATGTCCCCAAATCTTAATTAAAGAGCTATGGTGGTGCGGTGGTTAGAATGCAGTATTGTAGGCAAACTCACTGCTCACTGCCAGGAGTTTGACCCTGACCGGTTCAAGGTTGACTCAGCCTTCCATCCTTCCAAGGTCGATAAAATGAGGACCCAGATTGTTGAAAGCAATACGCTGATTCTGTAAAGTGCTTAGAGAGAGTTGTAAAGCATTATGAAGCAGTATATAAGCCTTACATGCTATTGCTATCTAAGCCATGCAGGTGCGGTGCTTAGAATGCAGTATTGAAAACTAACTGCCCACAGCCAGGAGTTCAATTCTGATCAGCTCAAGGTTGACTCAGCCTTCCATCCTTCTGAGGTTGGTAAAATGAAGACCCAGATAGTTGAGGGCAATATGCTGATTCTGTAAACTGCTTAGAGCTGTAAAGCGCTATGAAGCAATATATAAATCTCTACGTGCTATTGCTATTAATCTAATAGAAATGTCTGTATGTTGCAACTACAGAAACGCTGTCATTTGTGTACAATTATACTGGACCATTAGCACTGATCAGCCGAATAACATAGTATTGACAATCTCGCTTCCATAAGTTAAAGCAGTTGGGTTTCGTGGGATTAAGAACCTATGAACAGGCAAACTGACAAAAACCTAGGAAAGTGAAGAGTAACTTTGAGGTTTTTATTTCAGTTAAAGATGGGGCGCAGGAGCAGGATTTGATTGAAACTCCAGGGGAAGGTATGGTGAATGTCAAGAGACCATATCATTGAGCCCTTAATTTTGTAAAAAAGTTGCTAAGTTTCATACATCTTGTGCACGAATTAGGTAATTATGTTTTTCACAGATGTTTTGAGTCAGCTGGCTCTGAAAGCACCCTAATTTTATGTTTGTATTTTCATGTAGGGCTCGGCTCCAGAGATTGATCCTTCTGATATTTCAAACTTTGGGTGGGAAACTAAAATCAAGGCTTGGATGGATCGGTACGAAGAAGCAGACAACAATCAATACAGTGAAGGTGTTCAGAGAGAGGCCCAGCGAATAGTTTTGAGATTAGGAAATGGAGATGAAAAAAAAGAGATGGTCACCAGCAACTCAATCTTCAAACCTCCAGTAGAGGTATATGAATGCATATTGAAGGAACCTTTAATGTTACATAGCATTAAAATTTTGCATTTCTTTATACAAAAAGGTATAATATTGAAAGTGTGGCTTCCCCCTTCCTTATGAACAGCCATTTGTTTATTTATTTGTCATGTATTTATTTACTTTCTAAAGTAGCCAACTATTGGTGGGAAACGGTGTCCAGTGATGACTTCTAATTATCACCATAAATACTTCACCATTTAAACCCAAATTGTTGGGGGCAATAATGCTGACTTTGTAAACTGCTTAGAGAGGGCTGTAAAGCATTATAAAGCAGTATATAAGTCTAAGTACTATTGCTATTTATTTATAGAGTACAATAAATAACTACACTACAAATGGATGTTTTAAGATATACAAACATTAATGAAGTGTTCACGGTTTTATGGAAGATTAAATTCTAATTATCCACAGAACTATTGTAAGCTACAAAATTAAATAGCCTTATCTCTAACTTGGAAGTAGAAAATACTGAGTAAAATGGAGAATTAAAGCATTCGGGCCACTCTCAGTAGCTGACAGTCATTTTGTATCATGCAGAAATTGTTGGAGAAGGAGTTGTGAGTTTGGTTAGCCAATCATTCATTGTCAGCTTAGCAGCATCTCATTCATAAATGTTTTCCCTTAATATTAAGAACAGTTCAACATAACTAGGAGAAAATAGATCTTTCTTTGATATAAAAGAAAGAACTGGCAAGAAATGTTATAAGATTTTGTTACAAAATAAAGCTTGCACTGTCTTCATTTCCATTTAAACCCTAGTGAAGTTCTGAATCTGTATTCTGATGTGTTTATCTCTGCCAAAGCCATTTCAATCATATATTTTATGGTTAATGTTGATAATGAAAATAATGATTAGGGGATGGAAGAAAACAATTGACACGTACAATTACATGTGTCCATGTACTTGAAAACACATCTTTAATTATTTATTGCAGAACTTATGGGATCCACTGAAAAGTAAGAAGCAATATTAAAATGTAAAATATCCATGCTAAAATCCTATTTGGCTTATGTTATCTTGAGATCCGAGAATTTCTGCCTGTCATCCCTGTGGCACAGAGATCTCACAGTCCTGATCATTTAAAGTGAGGCACACAATTGTCTGTTGTAATTGGCCCAGACAATTTGTAATTAGAGAATATTAACTCCATCCTCCGTGATAGGACAATTCAAAAGTATCTGTGTGACCATCTCAATTTCAATGAGACAAATAGCATGAATATGAAAAACACACATAAGTCTTAAATTTTAAAAAATTGAGACCAAAAGTGAGCAATAATATGTTTAATTAAAGGATTCCTCAAAACCCTTTTTACTGCTGTATTCATTTTACAGCCATTTCAATTTCATATAGTTTTAAACAACATTGATCAAAAGAAAGATTTGATTTTCCAATCTCTTTCACTACTAGAACTGAAAAATAATTGAAAGCTATAAGCTTATTTTTCAGTGGTGCAATGGTGTCAAAGTCTTATAAAATCCGAACAATAAACCCATACCCAAGAATTGAAAAATAATGTTTACTTACAGATTGTAATAAAATATATTTATAAAATATTTTAAACAAAGTTTTGTTGGCCCAAACATTGTTATGTAGATTTTGAACTTGGACAGACATTTGCATTCTAAAGGTTTTGCTGAATCAGCCATGGTTTGGCTGAACTGAATTGCTTAGATTGTTCCAGGTTTTGGCAAAATCTAAAGAAAGCAAAGAGGGGAAAAGTTGCCCAAACTTTCTGTCCACAGCATCTAACATAGCACTGGCCCAACTAAATCCCTGATCTTCTGAATCTCTGATCCTTCTCCTTTCAGTTGCCACTACTGCTCATGTCCCAGCACGTCCCAGCAGCTGTCTTACCTGCTCCCTCGATTTTCCCAGCATTTTTTCTCCTACTATCAGACACAGACAGTGGGGTCCCAGCCCTCTACCTGTGCCACCAAACTTCCGAGTACCTTTTTCTCGAGTCTTCTTCCTAACCACTTCTATCTGGAATAGAACATGCACCATTTTTTCCCATGTCCATGGAACAAATCAGCCCAAATGGGCATGTTTTGGTTCAGACACAACTTTTCTAAAAACCAGCTGTTGTGCACAGAGTATTTTGCACATCCCAATTATTAGCTCTGGTAGTGTATGCAGGCCTCTGTTTCCACAAAACAATAGACTCAGTGTTAACAGAAAAATTGCAGTGACAGAAACCTGTCTCCTTTGGAATGCATGTGATTTCCTCTTGTGTTGCTATAATTTCTGAGGGGATCATCATGGGCCAAAATTGCCACTGTCTTAGAAGGACTATCAAACTATTTTGTTCAGAGTAGAAGCAACACATAGGGTTCTTCTTTCATATATCTCCGTTGATTTTCTGAATGCTTGTTCTCCTATTTCGCAGTGGCAAATTTCAGGGATAATCAAAATTGTGATATGTAATGCATTTTAATAGAGTTGTCATAAATATAAACAGATAGCCGCTTAGCCCTGGAAGACCCCATCATTTAGATAGAAACGATGGTACTTTCAACACAAACAACCAATATATTGGAACTAATCTGTATTGACATGGCTGTAAACAGACTTGCCATTTTTTTATTTATTTTTGCTGAAACAGTACATGAACAATATGCTAGTATGCTTCAATAGCATATTGGAATGGGCACAGCAGTTAATGTTTTGTCCATTGTATGTGATTGGTTATAAATGGCTAGAGGGGTGCTAACTATTTGTACCCACTTTTGAAGTACCATGCTAATCTACCTTCAAATATAACCTGCAGTATTTCCCCCCCCAACCCACCCCCAATTCCAAATAAATGCTCCTTGACAGTTAATTATGAGAAATAAGAGTGCACAATTATGCCATCCAAACGACGTGTCATGCAATCTATGGAAGGGATCTGCAAGCTATTTGATCAATTTAATGTCGGTAGAAAGAGACTAAACAATAAAGGAAAAGTTACATTCTCAGCTCTTGTAATAAGAAGCATCTTTGCTTCTTTCTCTCTAGCATCAGCATGGCGCACGTGACGCACTCCTTGGAGGAATGTCCCTGCTTGCAGAGACCTTCGCCTAGATATAGGCCAATTCTCTTTTGATCAGAAGTGACACAATTACAAGAGGTGTGAGTTCCTTAGTTGTTGTGTCAGAGTACAGTAAGACTTTTTCTTAGAAAGGCATATTCCCACCCTAAGGCTATCCAAATGCAGAAGAAATCCCCTTTACCTAAGAATCCGCATGTTGGCATTTTTGTTGAAATGTATCTTATTTGGCACCTGTCCTTTTGCTCTGGTTAGCAAATGTAAGAGAGAGACTGCATATTTCATGTGTTTTCATTCCTTCTGCCACCTCAATTCTGGCCTTTTAATAAGATGGTGTGAAGCATCTGTAAGGGAAGAGCTCCTCCCTCCCCCCACCTATTTTGAAAAGTTTGTCTTGATTTTCAGTTTTATAGAATTTATACATGCATTCAAGTTGTTGTCCTTTCCAATATGTAAATTAAAATGTCTATGTAAATATGATAATCAAAGTCCTTCCAGGAATAAAACCAATTAGCTTTTTAGACAAGAAAACACATTTAAAATTACCAGGCTGTTCTGTTAAAGGGTACATTATATCTGTATCAGTGTGCTAGTTAATAAGATTCTTAAATTTTTCTTTTCTCCTTTTAGAGCTATATTCAAAAAAATAAGAAAATTTTAAAAGCTGCCAAAGACTTGCCTCCAGATGCACTTATTATTGAATATCGTGGAAAATTCATGCTGAGGGAACAATTTGAAGCTAATGGATATTTCTTTAAGAGGTACTTTTCCCTAAACCTTCTTTAGTTACTCTCTTTAACCTTCTTTACTCTTTCCCTCCCTTCCTTCCCCCACTCTCTCTTAAACGTATTACAATTGTCAAGCAAATTAAAAACTTTTTTTCACCTGATCTTTGCCTTACATTTCATCTTCTCTTTTGAAAATTCGGTAGTTATTGTCATTCACTTTAGTAATTAGACAGTGTTGTTCCTTCTCATTTCTACTTTATATATACATTTTTATCTCTTCCAACCTTTTAAACCTTTGTCACTCATCTCAATATTTTTATCATTATGCCTCAGTCTGGTACCATCATTTGAAGTTGCTTGTTTTGACTGACTTTGATTCTCCACATTTTTGCAAATGAAAAGCAAAAGCTGCATCTAGATAGTTATTAGGTTAGCAAACGTAAAATTAAACCTTATGCTTATGAAAGAACTAGGCAACTTCAAAGAATAAACATTACAGCCAATGTTATACACTGCCTGAATAGTTCTCGATACCGTCCTGCTCGATTAAATTAATTAGCAATAATAATCACAAGGATTGACATGGTCAGTATTATAATCCAGACACACAAACTTAGCATATGATAGTGTATTTTCTTCTAGATGCTTACATTTCTCCCACATGTTGTTGTTTTGTTTTTCATTTTCTCAGTTTCTTTGTCAAGGAAAAAAAATTTCTTTCCATTCTCACTAAGCATGCCGAACAAATAAACAGTAACAGTTTCCTTTCTCTGTTTAAGTTTATATTTTGGTTTTATTAAGAAATGTCTTAACGGAATGATTGGAAGCTAAGCAGGAAAGCAGAAAAACAAAATCTTCACTTTGATTTTTGTAAAAAAAAAAAACAAAAAAACCCACCCATTTGGAGGTATCGAAGCAGCTCTCTCTCCCTCCAACATTCTTAAAATATTTTATTTACAGCATTTGTATATATACTGATTTCACAAGGATTCCTGGCACCTGAAAAAAATGGAAGCATAAAAATAATGACAAAATCAGAAAACCTTAAACTCACTTCATAAGCCAGCATCATGCAACTCTCTCATTCAGTAAAAGCTCTGAGGAACTACTTGGCTTCATTGCCTTTCAGAAAACAGGGTGGTTAGGCTAAGATGCCCATCTTTTGCCCAGATCAAAGTAGCCCTAGAATGCCCCAAAAAGTTCAGTGAATCTGATCTAAAATAGATTTTTTTTTCTTATTCTCCATAATGTCAGCTGAAGCTCAGGTAAAGCAGCATCATGACAATTGTCTTAATGCTGAGATGAGTCAAAACAATTGCTCACAAGACTGCTTTTTAAATTTGCTATTTTATGAAGCCTCAGGATGTAATAACATTTGACTTTTTTAAAATTGAAATTTTAAAAAAAGCTCCACTCCTGATGAGGTGGCAAACAACCTCATACTTTGAATAAATACATTGTCAAGAAGTCTGTATGTATGCCTCCCAAAGTTATCAGGAATTAAGTTCCACGTTTACAGTATAAAACTATCATGAAGTCGTTTAAAAACTACTTTTCCAAGTCACGTAAATGTGCTAAAGCACCAGTGTCAAACTCGCAGCGTCACGTTGCTGCCACGTTTTGTGATGTTTTTCCCTTTGCTGGGGTGGGCGTGGCCTGATTGTGATGCACCAATTTGACACCCCTGTGCTAAAGAGACATTGATTCCAACCAATCTTCCGCCTTTAGTTGTCCTCGTCACAGATTGTAATCTTAGAACAGTGGTTCCCAATCTGTGGGTCGCGACCCCTTTGAGGGTCGAACGACCCTTTCACAGGGGTCGCCTAAGACCATCAGAAAACACATATTTTTGAAAAAATATGGAAAACATAAAATAAGTTTATGGTTGGGGGTCACCACAACATGAGGAACTGTATTAAAGGGTCATGGCATTAGGAAGGTTGAGGCCCACTGTCTTAAAAGATGACAGAGAAAATGCAAGCACGAGTAGAATTCTTTTTAATTTTCTGGACAGTGCAGATAGTCCTCAACTTAGGACTACAATTGGGCCCAAGATTTATGATGCTAAGTGAGACATTTGTTACGTGCATTTTGCCCCATTTTACAACTTTTGGTAAGTGAGTCACTGCAGTTCTTCAGTCAGTAATACGGTTGTTAAGTGAACCTGGCTTCCCCATTGATTGACTTTTCTTGTCAGAAGGTCGCAAAAGGGGATCACATGACCCCAGGACACTGCAACAGTCATACATATGAACCAGTTGCTAACCAGTTGTGAATTTTGATCACATGACCTTAGGTACGCTGCAATGTGAAAAATGGTCAAAAGTCACTTTATTCAATGCCATTGTAACTTTGAACGGTCACTAAGCAAACTGTTGTAAGTCGAGGACTTAAATAATAATTGTAGTAACTGCTTGCCTGTTAATAAGCCAGAATGAGTTGTTTCAGCATGCCAGGGAAAAAAAATCCCACTTTGATCCTAGCTCTGAACTAATAAATAAAAAGTTGCATGGAGCTCCCATCCCAAAGTTTCAACAGCTTGTATAACTTTGCGACATATTTTCTCCATGGTACTAGGTTTTCCTCACATTTGAAAAAAGTAACTTTTAGCTGTATTTTAAAATATTTTTCCTGTGACAGAATGTTTATTGTTTTTTAGGCCATACCCCTTTGTTCTGTTCTATTCTAAATTTCACGGGCTAGAAATGTGTGTGGATGCACGAACCTTTGGGAATGAAGCTCGATTTATCAGACGTTCTTGTACACCTAATGCTGAGGTAGGCCTTTATTATGATAAATGTGATCTAATAAAAGTTTTTGCTCAACAAAACCATCTTAATGCGACCCAGCTGTGTGTAGCTGTTTTCCAGGAATTAAAATATTTTCCAGTTTTGAACGTTTTCAGGAAATGGAAGCTCAAGTTGCAGAACCTTATGTTTATTACAAAATGAGGCAAGAATCTGTATTGTATAACTATGCTATGGCTGCGCTGTAATTAGATCTCTAAAACTAGTACATTATTTCATTAACGATGTAGAAGGGAAGGGAATATTATCTAGTCCCCAAATTCTAAAACCAAAGGTTAGGGTTAGTTATGAGTCAAATACATCAAAATTAGTGTTTCTGGACTTTTTCAAGACTGCAGATGCAGTCTAGTGTCATTCACTTTATCAGATGCAGGAAATTATTCTGAGCAAATAATGTATCTGTACTTGTAAAGTGGTACTTGCATAGGCATACAGTAGAAGCTTCCTTGAGATCAGGCATATCATGACATTAAAATATTCTCATCACATATATATATAACTCCTCATCCCTGGCAGATAACCCCTGGAAAAGGAAATAATCAGAAATAATGAAATTGAGAATATGAGCATAATAATACTTATTTATTGACAATCAACATTCACAGAAGAATATGGAAAGGACATATTTGTATTAATGAGTTGACTTGCATATGTGGCATGATAATAATTCCTAATATTTATTGATGATAAAAGGAAGGGGAGGGAGGGAGAGAAGGAAGGAAGGAAGGAAGGGCCGGCAGGAAGGAAAGAAAAGATGTAGACTTTTATCAGTTGCTTTTGGTTGTATTTCTTATGGAGAAAATAAGAGTAGAAAATGAAATGAAAATACTTGGCCTTAAGGCCTTAAAAATCAGGATGTGAAATTTCAGGAAACATTTTACTCTATCCCCTAAAATGGTGCTAGAAATTGTAAATGAAAAAACTATTTTAAAAAATGAGTTTGTTTGCTTCCTTATTCATCTTAAGTTAGGAATCTTTTTTACATTTGCCATTAGCACTGTATCTTAGATAACATCCTAAATTCTTAAATAAGATTAACTTTCAATTTAACTGCCTTTGTAGGATATGGAAGTTGAAAGCCTGTATTAAAATTTGGAGTAGTGTTTCAATAGAACTTCTAGAAACTAAATTCATTTGTGTTCTGCTTATGCAATCCTTCATGGAGGCATATAACTAGGACATAATACGGAGAACTTTTCCAAGATATGTTGAACAAAAATATTGTACCATTTTCCCTTCACTCACACGTGAACGTCTGAGATGCAAAAGCTTGTTTCAAATTAATGGCTGGGGAAAAAACACAGAAATGTATAAAATACGCAACATTCATTTCCAAGGAAATTGTTTATTCCCCACCCCCTACCCCCAAGGTATTGTGTCTCTGTGTTTGTAACTGAAGGAAGGTTGACAAAGCTGCTGGAATTTGCTTGATTTTAAAAATTAATATTGTACTATTTTAAACCTGATAACTGGAACACTCCATTTTGTGAATATAAATATTTCCTAAATACTGATGCTAGCTAAATTGGTTTTTTAAATAACCAATTCCAAATGAAAAGTTGTGGCTCATGCATTCTTGACAGGCCCCAACTGAGAAGTTCCCTTCGCTGCTTGCTAGCCAACTGAAATTAATGGAATGTTTTGAACCATTGAACGTGGACTATAAGAGTTCTTTATAATGCTATGAGGTATATATATTATGAACAGACTATATTTATTTCATTAATAATATCAAATGACCTTATTACTACTGTTCTTACCTATTTTGGAACAGAGGATTTTACCAAAACAATAAGAAGATAAAAGTCTTTATTGGGAACAAATATATATTTTAAACACATCAAATAATCTGTGTTTAAATACTCCATCTAAATTCCCCCCATCTAGGTTAGACATGCCATCGAAGATGGAACTATTCACCTCTATATCTACTCCACCCAGGACATTCCAAAGGGAACAGAAATAACGATAGCCTTCGATTTTGATTATGGAAATTGGTAAGTAATGCTGATCTTCAGAGATGCTGCTAACATATTCCTAAGTGATATATTAATAATCAATGTTTTTTTTCCAGTTGTGTATGTCATAATCTAGGAATTAAGTGCAGACTCATAAAAGTAAGCGAAAAATGTCTGGTATAACTTGCATCATTAGGCTGTAATCTAGGTACCAGCATTATATTTAGCACTAAAACTGTGAAATCTCCAGATGATTTCTTCGGACAGCTCGCATACCATATCACAAAATGCTGTAGCCAGTGTTGGTAACACAAATCCAAAAACCTTTGATCACTCGAGACATGCTGAACTGAAAGTTCCACTGAATCTAAATTAGGATTTAAAATACCGATTTGATTGTCTTTTAGCAATTATGAAAGAACTGGTGTAATGGTTATAAGAAGCTAACTAGAAACAGGGAAACCAAGGTTCTACCTTCAGGCACAGAAACCAGTTGGATGGACCAGTCAATCAACCGGTTTTTGACCTGTGGGATAAATCATAGTTCATACCCATCAGCGAATATCCTATAGTAGATTGATTTGAGCTGATCATAACATTCATTAAAGTTGCAAGTCTGTTTAATATAATGGTGTTCAATTCTGAGTACCGTGTTTCTCCGAAAACAAGACTGGGTCTTATATATTAGGTTTTGCTCCAAAAGATGCATTAGGGCTTATTTTCTGGTTAGGGCTTATTTTCGGGAAAATACGGTACTAAATGCATCCATCTGGCTGGCAATCTTAACGGGCTTATTTGCAGGATAGGGCTTATATTACAAAGAGCTGAAGAATCATGCAAGAATTTATTTTCTAGTTAGGTCATATTTTCAGGGAAACTGGATAGTTGTAAAAAGAGTTAGGCTGCCATTTGTGTGTTTCCTAGAAAATCTAATAGTTACAAAGCTTTTCTTACGTTAATTTTCCTTTTTTTAAAAAACAAGCAAATACAAAGTGGACTGTGCTTGCCTCAAAGAAAACCCAGAATGCCCAGTGTTGAAGCGTCCCTCTGAGCCCACCGAAAATATAAACACAGGATATGAAACCAGAAGGAAAAAGGGGAAAAAGGAGAAGGAAACTCAAAACCAGAACATCACGTTGGATTGTGAAGTAGCAGCAGGCAAAACCAAGTTTCCAGAAAACCGACAGAGAAAACTTTCTCCCCTCCGATTGTCGATCTCAAATAATCAGGTATTTTTTCTGTTCTGTGATTAATCATCTCGCATAGAAAACCTCAGCAAAAACAGGGTGTTTTTTTCCCCTCCCCTGTGTATCATACTTACAATATACGCATCTCACAAAAATGGGACTTGGCAGGCCAGAGAGTGGGTTAAGAACTCTAGCTTTTTTGCTTGAATCCTGAACCTACAAAGAAATTGGGTTCTAAAATAAATATACTAATTTAAATCCTTGCTGATTTCTTCAACCTTAATCAACTATTCTTGTTGAATTTCATCAGTATACAACAAGAGTTTGTTTTGAATACTTTTGCAGATCACTGATGTAAGGATATCATGCTGTGCCTTGAATTATCGGGATCATCCTCCAGAGGGATTAACTTTTAACTTTTATTCAATACAAGAATTTACAGAGATGTAGGCAGTATTTTACTGCAAGGGAGTTTTATAGATGTACCCACGTAGTCCAGAATCTGTTTTAGTATTTTAAATAATTTGACATGTACATAATTATCATACCAATTTGGAATGAAGGCTGGGATTGAACCAGAATCCAGGACTTAATAATAGTTTTCTGAAGGATATTTGTCCTTTCCAAGGATGAAGCTGGTAGGAGGTCTGTAATAATTTATAAACAAGATTATACTGTAGTTACGATTTGTAGTTCGGAAAAGACTACTGTTGTGCATTTCAATTACAGTCATTATTTGGCTTTTTTTTATGGTATTGATTCTTACCTTGCTGATTAGGAAAACGGGAGAGAATTTGTTTCAGCATACCTGATATAGTTATATAGTTATAGCTTGCGGGAAATAAAAGCAGTGCTGCTTTGAGCAAAGTAGAGCTGGATATATACTGGGAATTAACTCCTGCCTATGCACACAGCACTAATTCTCCTGGTGGATAAAATGAACTAGGTGCTTGTCTCCCGTGTTTGAAACTTGCAGCCCTAATTTGCTAGGTGCAGCAAGCTCAAGAGCTCCAGCACAACTAACTTGCAAAGCTTTGAGGTGGTTGAGCAGTTGCTAATGATGGGAGCCTACAGGCATCCTCGGTTTATTAAAGAATTGAGAAGAATTTTAAAGAATTCTTCCTGACAGGTCAGGCATGGCTGCTGTTTGAAGGAGCCAGATTTGATGCAACAGATCCAGGCCCAGGCCTTTTTCATGGCAAGCCAGAATTCTAGTTCTAGGCTCACACTGAAAGAAAATATCAGTGCAAAGCAAGCTGTTTATTGCTGTATTTTTCGCTCCTTGAGATGCACCTGAGCATAAGATGCACCTAGGTTTAGAGGAGGAAAACAAGCAAAAAACTTTGGAGCAGCAGTGTAGTGAGGGCAGGAGGTGGAGCCTGAGAGGACCACAGATAGGTGTCCTCTCATGTGCCAGCTCTGGCTTTTGACTCCTGCGCTGCAGAAAAGAGACCGAAGAGGCGGGCAATGACAAAGACAGAAGAGGGCGGAGTTCAGCCCTGTAAAAGGGCTGCAGCCTGGCTGCTGTTCACTAAAGGAGCGCAAAGGACTTTTTGGGGGGGAAAGTGTGTCTTATGGAGTGAAAAAATATTTTCTATTTGCTGTCTTTGAGGAGGCACATCCAAATCTTCAAGGCTGTTGTTTGCCTTTCTGCCAGCTGCACGGCGGTACACGAAATGGGACGACTCACTGTGGAACAACCCACCATGGCCAACTCGCTGCAGGACAATTCAACCATTCAATTTAATTATTTAAAAGAATTTTTTAAAAAATATTTTAATTTTTGTCATTCACATTTCATTTTGTTCCCTCCTTCGACATCTTTTCTTCAATGATTCCATTCCACTCTTTCTTTGATATTAGTGTAGCTCTTTTCCCGCGGCGAGTTGGCTGCAGTGAGTTGTTGTAGACCGCATGGTACAGCATGTGATTCCTACAAAGGCTGATCTATAGCAACAGTGTATTCAGCTTACTCTTCTAGTAAAGACGTATCACATATTGAGAAAAATGCTCCTTTTCTCTTTTTTCTACAATGATATAGTACTTGCTAAATGCCTCTGACATCCTCATGGTGTTTCATTGCTTAAACAAATGGGGGGGGGAGGGTTATGCACACACAAGCATCACTGCTGTGTATCACCCAAACCCACTAGAAACCAGACCAATGAACTTAAAATATTAAGCCAGTTACTGACTTAATTGGAAGGCAGGCAACTAGCCGTGGAGTGGGGTTTTTTTTAAAGAAAATATAGGAAAGCACTTGGGATTCCTGCAAGTGAGGCCACACCATCCCAGCAATCCTTTTTCATGTAAACGGCACTAACTGAATATGTTCTAAACGAGATAAAAATGAACACGTAAAGGAATAGAGTTTGCCCTTCCAGTTTTGATAGTAATTGTAATACAGATAATAAAGTACACAAGAATGAGAGTGGAAATATCCTGACAGGTGTACTATGCTTCACTTCTATTTTATTTTGGCAGTTATAAATTTTAACTTCAGTTGCTAGAAAACTGATGGATGATACGTAACGTTAATGTGTCATTATTAGTTCCTTAACTATAACCAATATGTATACTCTTGAAAATTTTGATAGATATATAAATTAGCTCTGAGGTTTTTCAGGGTAGGAGAAATGATATGAATTATTAATGTTTAATACAAGTAAAAGCTATAAATATGATACCCTATTAAATGCAATTTGTGAGAAATACCTCATTAGGTAATTTTGTACACATACTAATGCTAAACTTTGTAAATGTTTATCTGGGAGAAAGTCCCTTGTACTTAGTGGAGGTAGGAAAAATCCATAGGATTGCACTGTTAGTAAAACAATTGGAAGCACATGAAGTTAATTAACCAATACCTTAACAAAGTTTTGATGCACATCATTATCTTTCAAATTGTAAATTAATCTAAACAAAATGAAATATTTTACACATTCGAGTTAAAATACTTGTTAAAATAATATATACAGCTTGAGATGCTGAAGTTTTAGAGTAAATCTTACTTTGCTGTTTTCGTATGCAAAGATATCAAAGATACTTTGGGAAGATATATTTTATCTCGGTCCGGGCTGTCAAATCCGCCAGCCAGATACGTCACACGCTGGCTACACCCAGTTTAGCAAAGGGGGAAAAGTCGCTACGTGGCTGTGGTGAAGCGAGTTTGACATCCCTGATCTAAGTTATTAATTGAGTGGGCTATTAAATGAGTTGTAGGTTCTGCATGTTAGATCCTCTCCTGCATTAGCTGTGACGTGAGATTTTTTTTTACAGTGCAATCCTATTCCTGTCTACTCAGAAGCAAGTCCTAATGATTTCAGTGGGACTTACTCCCAGGTAAGTGTGTATAGGATTGCAATGCTAGTATCGTAGAGTTCCCTAGGTTATGCCAGCAGCAGTAGCCGCAGCAGTAGTAGAGCTTCTGTAAAAGCAGTCATTTCCATCTTTCAGGAGCCAGATTTTATTGATGATATAGAAGAAAAAACTCCTATTAGCAATGAAGTAGAAATGGAATCAGAGGAGCAGATTGCAGAAAGGAAAAGGAAGATGGTAAGTTGGGAAGCTAGTAGCCGCTTAAAGCTGTCAGTAAAGATGAGTGACAGTTGCTCTTCCCATGCTAATCATTGCTGCCTCTCCTAGGTACTTAGAATTTGAGAATATTTGAAATCTGCTCCTTGATATGTGCTAATTCTATAAAAACCTTTGTGTGTGTGTGTGTGTTTCTGTTTTTTTGGTTTCGTGATTTCTGAAAATAGTTGTGTATATTTTCTCAAGAATCTATTTTTCTGAATTATTTCTTGTATCTGTTGCACTATCCTCTGAAAATATCTCCTGTAGTTTGACTTTTATTTTAATCTATCTTGGTTGCCACGGTGATAAGGAGTTCTCTGTTTTCAAAACTAGTTATGAATATATTTCTAACAATAATAGAAAAGAAACATCGCTATAAAGACAAGAGTCCTTAAACATGAGATACCAGATACTTGTCTTTTAATATGTTGAACAAACATGCTGAATGTTGTTTTATTTAGTGAAATACAGAACTCCGAAGATAGACTGAACAACTTAGATTTTAACAGGAGACATGTATTTAGAAAGAACTGTGAAAACGAGAAAAAGAATATTTCAATAGCAATGAAGTAAAATTGAAGCAGTTTTTTAAGCATCTTCTTTAATCTTTAATCATTTAAAGATTAAAATAGTTAAAATAATTTATTCCATGTGATAGCTACTTGAATATTAATTTATTTTTGTAGTGATCTATATACATACAAGTAGGAGGTATTTTAAAAAACTATTTTCATCTTCTTTCTTGCCCTCTGGGTGAGTCTATTACAGAGCCTGGTGTGTATACCTCCTGTTTTTCTTTCCCGTTTAAATTCTCTTCTCACAAAATTAATTAATCCTTAATTGTTATAACAGTTTTTTTTCCTAAGCTACTCTACATAATACTTAGTGCTTTTCTGCTTAAAGATGTTCCTCCTATTTTAAACACTGAGTTTATAGCCAAACCCTTTACCCTCTTCAGCCTATCTTTTCAGGAAATATATATTATCTATCATAGTGATCTTAAAATCTTGACCACTGCCCTTCCTTTCCATTTGCTCTCCAGTTTTAGTATCTGCTTTAGGATACTAGTAACCATCATTGCTTCCTCTTTCTGTTCAGTAGCTAAAGCATTTGCCTTGTTTTAACTGTTTTCTTTCCCTTTCTATTTAAAATTTGCATATATTAAATATTTTGGTACTGTGATTGATCCTCATAGTTTTTCTATATGCACTAAATTATTTACCATTACAAATCTGTAGCTAACTCCCATAGCCTATGACTTCGTTGCTGTCGGGTCCTTGCATCTTTTGCTTCTTTATTGTCTGAAAGATCAGCTTCAGTGGCATTTTATATCTGCCCTCATTTCTATTCTTGTGCAGTTTTCCTCAAAAGGAGAGAAACAAACATTGAAACATCATCTACCGGGTTAATTTTTTGGTTTCCATCTCAAGTTATCCTAACCTGAAAATAGGGAAATATTCCTGTTTTCTCCACTGTCTTAATACATGTAGCAAATAAATACAGGTAGTCTCGACTTACAGCAGTTCATTTAGTGACTGTGCAAAGACACAACACTGAAAAAAGGGACTGATTAAAAAAGTGTGTGACTGCAGCATCCCCCCATGGTCATGTGATCAAAATTCAGAGTCTTGGCACGTGTTTAAGCCGGCTGCAGTTCCCGGGGTCATGGGATCCCCCTTTGTTACCTTCTGACAAGCAGTGTCAATGGGGAAGCCCGATTCACTTCACCACCATGTTATTCACTGCAGTGATTCACTACCATTGTGGCAAGAGAGGTCATAAAATGGGGCAAAACTTACATAACAACAGAAATGTAGGGCTCAATTGTGATCATGTCAAGGGGCTACCTGTATTTAATAAATGAGGCCCAAAACAAAGAAGCTGTCACCACCACTGTTCTCAGTGGCATGAGAGTACAGATCAATCAACTTCCATTTGGCATGATGGGTTATAAGGCCAATTGCAGGAGGAAGATGACTAGAAAAGAAGTTTTAAGAACTTCAGCTTTCAGTGTTTGATTCCGCTCACGATACATAATGATCTTTCATAGTTTATAGAAACTTGAGACTGTGTAGGGCATAGCAGCAAATGCACTTTCCCTCCACACTCTTATAATTGAAATATAAAGATGACAAAATAGATATTTCTAAAGCAGAGGAGAGAGAACTACTAAATTAAAGCATCATGTCAAGTTTGGGCGGTAACTCTTTTGAACTTTGGCTTTTCTTCCCATACCTGCTGAGTTGAAGCCATCAAACAAAAGATGCTACCTTGCACTTTAAAAAACAACAACAAAGAATAAGAGTTAGTATAAGTAACTCTACTCATGCTTTTTCTCAGTTTGTTTATCTGCAAGGAGAAATCTTATGATCATGGAAAGCAACCAACACATCGGATTTCCCCCCCCCCCACACACAGGCATAAATCTAGTAACTTTCTCCTCCAGTGCTGCAACTTTTCCCTTCTCAAAAAGTCTGCAATTCCCAGACCAGATTTTGTAAGCTGGAAAAAAAGGATGGACCATAAAATAATTAAGAAAGATGGAAGCTAGAGAAACCGAAACTTCCAATAGCAGTTGCTGGAAATGCTTCCTCCTATCTGAAAGATCAACTTGCTCACCTTAAGAATCTTAGAAGATTTAGGTGATATAGGTAACAACAGAACTATCAAAGCAGGCAGACGAGGAGTAAAAACAGAAAGCAGTTCCTGTTGCTCATGTATCTACAGTTGCTGGGGGAATTCAGAAGTGATGTCATAATCCTCTCAACCAATAGGAAGATATTTCCAAGACTTCAGTTTCCAGCCAATTTTTAAAGTAGATTTTAATGAAAAGATTAGCTGAACAATTTCTAGCGTTGTGAAATATAAGAGAAATCCATATTAACGGTAGAAGCTGAGTATGTATGGCCGTTTGGGTAATATTGGCACTTGAATCAAATCAATACCTAAGATTGCATTCAAGGATGTATGAAACAATACACGTGCTAGAATCTTCGGGAAGCATTTTTGGATCTGTATATTCTGTGGCAACAGGAGTGGGAAACTATCTCACAGGTATTGGCTCAGAGTTATCAAAATGGAGGCTAGAAAACTACTTAGTTAGGGCTATCTAAACTGATCATGTATAGAAAACTTTGAACATCCTGTTGCCATCAACAGCGATCCGAGTATTATTTCTAGAGGATATTTTTATTGTGTGTATGAAACAAATATATCAGAAGACCAAAAGGGCAAATAGTTGTCCAAATAATGGGGTGAAGTGCTACCTTTCATAGGATTCCTCTCTAAGTGGACCATTGGTTGGGCTGCTGTCACGGACCCTGTGACAATGTCATACATGAAGTAAAATGTTTTAAGGTAGCCATATGAAGGCTGGGCTCACTCTGGAACCACAGTGGAGGCAGATTTATCTGTTCTGGTCATAACTCCAGCTGTCTGGATTATTGGCAACTGAGGGAATGGTGTGTGGTGGATACTTGCTGTCAACAAAGAAAAATAAGGCAGAGTTCTGACTGATTGCTGAGATAAAGAGAAATGAGTATTAAGGTACAGGTAGTCTTCAACTTACGACCACAATTGAGTCCAAAATTTCTGTTGCAAGTTGTTAAGTGAGTTTTGTTTCATTTTCTGACTTTTCTTGCCACAGTTATTAAGTGAATCCCTGCGGCTGTTAAGTTAGTCACACCGTTGTTAAGTAAACCTGGCTTTCCCCATTGACTTTGCTTGTCAGAAAGTCGCAAAAGGGGACTGTGTGACCCCGGGATGTAACAATTGTCATAAATGTGAGGCAGTTGCCTAGCGCCCAAATTTTGATCCTGTGACCACAAGGTGGCTGCCATGATTGTAAGTGTGAAAAATGGTCATAACTCACTTTTTTCAGTGTTGTCGTAACTTTGAACGGTCAGTAAACAAATTGTAAGTTGAGGACTACATGTAATTTCTGCCTGAGGTTGATAGGGCTTTAATTTCCACTGAAAAGAGGAAATGTGTTGTTGGAAACTTGTACCTCCAGGTCTCAGGTGCTCCCATCAGTATAAAACCTCACAATTCTCTTGTTCAAGTTTCACTCATCACTCAACAATTTCTGTGTGTGGTCCCTGGCCACAATGAAATTGTTATTGTCACTCTCGCAGAGGCATGCCACCATCATGCCTCCTTAGTTGAAAAATCTCAGTAGCTCAGCACTAGCTTATTTAAAGTTTTCTTCTTATCTGTGAAAAAAATGAAGAATCAGAATAAGATTCATAAACGCAGGGGTTTGGTGAGTTAATTTGTGTGCTTGTGACATCCGTAATAAACACTATTACCATAAATGATCACTTTAACGTAATGATTTATCTGACATGATGATCCTTAGAGGGCTAATTGTATACCTTAATAAATTAAGGAGAGGATGTTTTTTTAATGTTCAAAGAAGTTTAAATCCTAGTCATTGTAAAAGCACTATAGAAAATTGCTCAATATTGATAAATGCATAATTTGACCTCATTTCTGAAGATGGGAGATTAACGTTTACTATTTATAGGTTATAATATTTTATATAATGTAGTTGTGAAGTACCAGTGCATTTAAAAATAATATATGGATTTATTCATGTAGAAAAAAAATGTTTCTTATTAAAACTACTTTAAATCTAAAATTAAATAACTGTTCATTTAATACTAATCCATACTGGTCCCCATCCCCGATTTCAAAATATAAATGCCATACCATTACTAGGGAACAAAATGTGGATTCTGTCAAATTGATTTTATGAATGTGACCTGTCAAGAATACTTTGAATAACTTTTTTTTTGTATTTTAAGTCCTTCAATGTATAAATTGTTTAAGCATCAATCAGTGTTATTAAATTCTTCAGACCAGAGAAGAACGGAAGATGGAAGCCATCCTTCAAGCTTTCGCCAGGTTAGAAAAAAGAGAAAAAAGAAGAGAACAAGCTTTGGAAAGAATCAGTACAGCTAAAACCGAAATAAAATCAGAATGCAGGGATACCCAGATCATCAACGAAACGGAGTTTGTTCAGGTAGATACCTATGTTTTATTAAGAGATTATCTCCGGAAATTATCTTACCTGTTTTGATGCTTTTGATACATAGAGTCAAGTAGTGTTATTTCTTCATTGCTCTGTTCCTATCCCACACTTCTTGTGGCAATACATTTGGGTGTCCTCCTCTGTCTAAGCAACAATACAGTGAGATGGGCTGGGCTAAGACCGAGTGGCCAACCCAAGTCACACAGGAGTCTCTGTGACTTCAGTGAAGGCCTGAGCCTCTGTCATCTGGCCATCAAACTGGTTGCTTCATTCTAGTTCACCAACTTTTGCAGTGCTTAACATTTGCATAAGAGAGTGAATTTTGAGATTTGGAACTGTACGGGAATGCAGTCCTAGCGTTCATAATAATCGGTGGAAATAGTACTTACATAAGAGAAAGATGAAGTAGAACATAGCCCTTTTTCTTAACCACATACAAAATAAAAATACTGCCAAGGCACGGAAACACTAAAATGATCCTAATTAAGAGCAGTATTGCCAAACGTATATTTTTATGCTTTGTGTATTTTTTTCCGATTTGGGGAAAGGCGCAAAGTTTATCGCAGGTGTATAACTTTGGATTACGTGTAATGTTCAGGAACCAGCAAAAGAGGAAACTGCCACCAAGCCAACACCTGCCAAAGTCAACAGGACAAAACAGAGAAAAAGCTTTTCCCGGAATAGAACGCATATCGGGCAGCAGCGACGAAGGCACAGAACCGTTAGCATGTGTTCGGATATCCAGCCATCCTCTCCTGACGTGGAAGTGATTTCACAGCACAACGAACCTGAAGCCACCGTGATTTCTACCGAGCCTGAAGCAGAGACCCCCGTGGCTGAAATAGTTCCTGAACCTGAAGCCCCAGCACTTAATAAATGCCCCACTAAATACCCCAAAACAAAAAAGGTACGTGGGACTTCATTTCTGCTCGGTCTGAGATGAGAAGTAGCTAATAACAGTTACAAATCCTTGATTTACCGCTAGACTTGAACTCGAAATTTCTTTTTTTAAAATATATGTTTTATTAATGCATTTTTTATAAACATAAAAAGTCCCATATCTATCTGAACAGTGTGCTGTCTGGGCACAGTTAGTTTTAAGTAAAAGTACAACAATAATAATAGTAATCATAAGAAGCATATCGATATCAGACACACAGTAATAATACAATTAGTTGTATTAAAACATATGAAGAACGGTTGCAGGAACTGAGTAGGTCTAGTTGAATGAAAAGAAGGACCAGAGGAGACATGATAGCAGTGTTCCAATATCTCAGGGGTTGCCACAAAGAAGAGGGAGTCAAGCTATTCTCCAAGGCACCTGAGGGCAGAACAAGAAGCAATGGGTGGAAACTAATCAAGGAGAGAAGCAACTTAGAACTGAGGAGAAATTTCCTGACAATGAGAACAATTAATCAGTGGAACCGCTTGCCTCCAGAAATTGTGAATGCCCCAACACTGGAAGTCTTTAAGAAGATGTTGGATAACCATTTGTCTGAAACGGTATAGGGTTTCCTGCCTAGGCAGGGGGTTGGACTAGAAGACCTCCAAGGTCCCTTCCAACTCTGCTGTTGTATTGTATTATTGTATAGTTTATCCTTGCACAATTTTAAATACATTTTTAAATTATCTTTTTAATCTTTTTAGTTTCTAACCTCTGTTTCTATTAGTTAACCATTGGTAAAGCAAGTTCCATGTTAAAGAGAATTCTGTTATTTTTCTTTTCAATGTTAATCTATTCATCTCAGTAATATTGATAATATTGTAATATTTCTTTTATAACACTTTCCTCTGTCGGCATCTCTTCATTTTTCCATTGTTGTGCAAACAATTCGTGCTGCTATTAATACATGTAAAATTATGTATGTATTCCCTTTATTATACTGTTCTGGTAATATACCCAACAGAAATATTTCTGGTTTCAAATCTGTGTGTTGCTTTATCATTCTTTCTATCCACGTATGTATTTTAGTCCAGTATTTTATTTTTGCTTTTGAATTTGACCTTTCTGTTGCTAAGCGAGACCATTAGTGAATCTTGCCACATTTTGCTATCTTTTTTGCCACAATGAACCAAGGTGGTTGTTAAGTGAATCTGGTTTCCCCAAAGGTCTGACAAGATCTTTGCTTGTCAGAAGGTTGCAAAAGAGAATCATGGGACTCTGCAACCGTCATAAATATGAGGCAGTGATCGCTTGACCCTGGGGTCTTAAGTGTGAAAAAATATTAATCGCTTTTTTCAGCACCGCTGTAGCTGTATGTCTTTTCACTCTCTCTCTCTCTTTATGTTGACTGGAATACCAGAGTAAATGCTCTACTGATTTTTCTGTTTTAGCACTTGGTGAGCGAGTGGTTAAGTGAGAAGAACGAGAAGCCGGGAAAGCCAGTGGAAAACATCTCCGAAAAGCCTCTGCGCATAACCACCGACCCAGAGGTCTTGGCGACCCAGCTGAATTCTTTACCAGGCCTCACTTTCAGCCCGCATGTATATACGACTCCGAAGCACTATATCCGTTTTACATCGCCCTTCCTTTCTGAAAAACGGCGGAGAAAAGAACCGATGGAAAGCATTCTGGGTTCCTGTAAGAAGGTAACATACCTGCTAACCTAGGGCTATATAGAACATTAAAAAAAAAAACACGTGGTAAGTCAGTTTTCTGGATTAGGAAGTGGCAAGGGATTCCCGATAAAATTGCTTTTCGGTAGCAGCACCGAATCAGTTGTCATTCCACCATTGGGCGAAGAAGACCTTTTGTTATTTTGCCAAGCTGATTATATTAATTCTGTTCCCTAGTTTTGAGCTACAGATTTATGTTTTGTCTTAATAATGACAGTATCTTAAAAACAACTTTTGTGTGAGGTGAGCTTTTAAGTGTTTTTTCACATCGTCATCTTCCGTTTCGCAGCGTTGGTTAAAGCAAGCGATGGAAGAAGAAAACTCGGTTGTTGGGTTTTTCATCTCCTCGCCCCACGAAAGATCCAGAAGTCCTGCAGTCAACGGTGAAAGTAGAAGCCCCTTGTTACTGACCGACAGCTGTTGCTTGACAGGTGACGTTAGTGATGTATTTCACCCTTATCCCATGTTCAGGGCTGGTGTGGCTTATGGTTTCCAGACCACCAGTTGGGAGCCTCTTTCTCAAGTACCCTTTGAACAGGTTGTCCTCGACTTAGGAACCCAAAATGAGCCCAAAATGTCTTTTGCTAAAGCAAGACAGTTGTTGGGTGAATTTTGCCCCATTTTACAACTTTTCTTGCTACAGTTGTTATATGAATCACTGCGGTGGTTAATTTAGTAACACAGTAATTTAGTGAATCTAGCTTCCCTATTGACTTTGCTTGTCAGATCACATGACCCCGGGACACTGCAACCGTTATAAATGTCAACCAGTTGCCAAGCGTCCCAATTTTAATTACGTAACCATGGGGATGCTACAGTGGTTGCAAGTGTGAAAAACGGTCATAAGTCACTTTTTTCAGTGCTGTTGTAACGTCAAATGATCACTAAATGAACTACTGTAAGTAGAGGACTATGGCTCAAGTACTGACAGAGGAAGGTTCCCCTCCTTTTGGTGTGTGTGTGTGTCTATATATGTATATAGGAATAGCACTTAGACTTATATGCCGCTTCACAGCCCTCTCTAAGCGGTTTACAGAGTCAACATATTGCTCCCAACAATCTGGGTCCTCATTTTACTGACCTTGGAAGGACGGAAGGTTGAGTCAACCTTGAGCCGGTCAGGATATATAGAGATAGATGATAGATAGATAAGATAGATGATAGATAGATAGATAGATAGATAGATAGATAGATAGATAGATAGATAGATAGATAGATAGATGATAGATAAAGTTTGTGTGGGAAGTTTTTTTCATATATATTCAGTTTCAACTCCTGAAAGAAGGGAAATCCTCTTACCACACTGGACTTAGGACTTAATCTTCGTAAATGTCAACGTCCATAAGGCAGTGACCGTTGCATCGTGAAGGCCAAGGGCAGGACGTCACGGATTACAGCACGCCATTGATTCCGATTTAGGGCGGCTTGTTGGGCATCAGTTATTGAAAAATGGAGTGGTTGAAGATCATGAGCCACTTGGGATATCCACATTTTCTTTGGGGCATTTCGTGCGATTTTCCACCCATCCGGTCGCAGCAAGTTAATCGATCGGTAAGGTAATCGGCTATTGTCCATACGGCAAACGTGTC